CTAGCTGTGTAACTTTGGGCAAGTCACTTAGCTTCTCGGGGCCTCTGTTTCTTTGTTTGTAAAATGGGTGTTCCTACCTCAAAGTGGTTCTATGGGAATCAAATGTGATCGGAAATGTGGCTCACTTAACACAGTACCTGGCCCAGTAAGTATTTCTCTTCTTTTCCCGTCACTCGCCCGCTTCCTTCCATCTCCCTTCTCTTCCTTCCACAAACCTATTCTATGCCATGTGGCCTTTAAAATCGATATGGTAGTGCTAGACAGAATGCAAATTGGAAAATCACTTTGGAATAGTGTTTGGCAACATCTGTTAAAGCTAAATAGGGTATACCCTATGATCCATACTAGGTCTATGCCTAACAGAAATACACACAGAAGACCTTGTTACAGGAAAGTTCGGAGCCACATTCTTCAAGATAGCTCCAATCTGGAAACAGCCCAAATGCCCATCAGTAAAACAGATCAATAAATTGTGGTATAGTCATACATTGGAATACCATGTAGAATGACGATAGATGAACTATAGGTCTATGCTACAGTGTGGGTGGATCTCCAGAACATAATGTTGAACCCAAAGAAGTCAGACATAGAAGTGTACATGCAGTAATATGCATTTATATGAAGTTCAAAAACTGCCCCAACTAATTTATGGTGTTAAAAATTCAAGATCGTGGTTAACCTTGAAGACGGTAAGGAGGGGTCTTCTGAGGTTCTGGCACTATTGTTTCTTGAACTTGAAACTAGATGCATGGGAATGCTATATTTGTGCAAATTCATCAAGCTGTACACCTATGAGCTGTACACTTAATACTTAAGGAAAGCTGTATATGGTATGCCACAGTGAATGTAAAAATGATGGAATTTGGGGCACCTGGGTGGCTCATTCGGTTGGGCGACCAACTCTTGACTTCAGCTCAGGTCTTAATCTCAGGATTTTGAGTTGGAGCCCTGAGTCGGGCTCCGTGCTGGGTGTGGAGTCTACTTAAAAAAAAATTATGAAATTTGACAAATTAACTTTTCCTGTTAGAAAGCACCCACATGAAATTATTCACCAAGAGCTATCGTTTTCTTTCCAGTTTCTCTGGCATGGTACCCTCGAGTATTCTGTAAGACAGGAGTGTGTATTTTCTGTCTCTTCACTAGTTGCTCCAGCTAGAGAATCATTGCCTCCTCTGCTGGCAGCAAGGACATCTTGCAATCGGTCTTTCCCAAGTCTTGCTTCCTAGAACTGAAAGACACTTTTTTAAGGAAATAATTTATTAATTACTTATTCATTTGTTTTGACTATGGGCAGAGTCTAATTTTTTAATCAAGTGTTTAATGTCTGAAGCTATAGACTTTAAATGGTGTTTTTACGATTTATTTATTTATTTTAGAGAGAACGAGAGCATGGTGGGGAGGGGCAGAGGGAGAGGGAGAGAGAGTCTTAAGTAGACTCCGCACAGAGCCCAATGCGGGGCTCGATGTCACCACCCTGAAATCACCATCTGAGCCAAAACCACGAGTCTTACGCTTAACCGACTGTGCCACCCAGGCGCCCCTGAAACTATAGACCTAAAAGAGATAATTCATATACACACATTTACTATGATAAGATTTTAAAAATATATGTTTATTTCTTTTTCCTGTTGATAGACTAGTAGGGTTCCTTTTCTTAAGGCTTTCAGCTGGTGAAGTTTAATGGGGTTCTTCCGGGAGAGGGTTACAGAACAGTGTGGTTGCTCAATAAGACATTGGGTTTTTGAGATTGTTCAAAGACCTTCTGATTAGTGCAAACTTTTCACATCCAAATAGCTGGAAGAAAGCTTTAGGTAATGAGTCTCCTTTATTTTTAGTGACTAAAAATACCGAAGGGACTTCCGTGAATAATGACATAAATTGATTTTTAGTACTAGGGGCAAAGAACGTGGGATACAACTATTGGATTGGTTCTTAACTTTTTTTCCTGGCCAAATCACAGTTATAAGATGATCTTTAGTTGCTGGTGACTTACTAAATAAATCTTTAAATTGCTGTCAGTGCTTTTTTTTTTTTTTTTTTTTTTTACAGCTAAGCAGATTCATGGCTGTGGTGTGGGTGTCCTGGAAGAGCTGACCCATAGTTAAAAGTCCAGCATTGCACAACTCAGTGCATGGAGATCATTAATTATAATTTTGAGGTATTTTTGCACAACTGAAGTAGAGTGTACTATGTGTCATTCCCAAGTTAACAATCACTTTACTATTGCCTACTAGACCATGGCTTAGGCCTAAATTTTGAGGCACACTTTCTCTCTCCAACCTTATTTATTATTATCCTATTGATTACCAGACTCTTCTCATATTTTCCTACATCATGCTCATTCATACCCCTGTGACTGGGTTTATGTAGTTCCCTCTCTCTTATGCCCACTCAACTTCTTTTTTTTTTAAAGATTTTATTTATTTATTTTATTTATTTGACTGAGAGAGAGAGCACAAGCAGAGGGAGTGGGAGAGGGAGAAGCAGACTCCCTGCCAAGCAGGGAGCCCGACGTGGGGCTTGATACCAAGACCCTGAGATCATGACCTGAGTGGAAAGCAGACACTTAACTGACTGCAACACCCAGGCGCCCCTACCCACTCAACTTGTTTTTCGTTTTCAAAAAAAAGATTTTATTTGTTTATTTGAGAGAGACAGAGTGAGAGAGAAATCATGAGCAGGGGGGTAGGGTAGAGGGAGAAACAGGTGCCCCACTGAGCAGGGAGCCTGATTCCAGGCTCGATCCCCGGACCCTGAGATCATGACCTGAGCTGAAGGCAGACATTTAACCGGCTGAGCCACCCGGGTGGCCCACCCACTCAACTTCTATACTTCTTTCGAGTCTCAAATAAATAAAAAAAAAAAAATCCACAAACACAATTTGTCAGTTACTAAGTCCGAACCCAAAGAGAAGGAAATGCAGTCCTGGTATTTTATGATTTCTTGGGGATGGATCGTAGACCAGTTGTCCTTTCCCTTTCTGGACCACGGAGTTACTAGATGGCCTCTCTGAGTCAAATTTCCTAATAAGCATTTACTGAATGCCTGTCTGTGTCAGGTTTTGTGCAAGGTGTTGGGAATACAGGAATGATTAGGACCGTTACCCTGCCCTCCCTTGGAGAACCGGCAGTCTAGAGGACCGTAAGCAAATAATTTCACACGACGTAACGTGAGTATGGGGCAGCATAGGACTATAGAGGAGAGGCATCCAAACCGTGTGTAATAATCGAGGTGCAACCATGTGGAAAGACCTGGAGGAGGTGACACCTAAGCAGAGTCTTAGAGCATGAGTAGTAGTTAGTCAAATGAGGAGGGTGGGAATTTCCAGAAGAAATAGCAGGAGCAAAGGCACAGAGGTGAGAAACGGCATGTAGGTGCCTGCACAGGAAACGCCAGGCAAGCTTAGGAGTTTGAGGCAGAGAATGGCAAGAGATGCATGACAATGGGAAAATATCCCTCAAACAAATAATATTTTCTCTCAAATACCTTCTATTTTAAATGTTATGTCCCTGATGCTCTAAGCTCTCCAAGTCGTCAGATGCTTCTCTACTGCGTAACAGGCTGGGGGAATTGCTAGTTGTTTCCTCTGCATGCTCCCTACCCCTGCCTTGATATCCCCATAATCTATCTGTCCCTAAGACTCCTATTCTCTTTCTATTCCCACAGTCACCATCTGTTTCCAGCGCCCCTTGGTGGGTCCCTTTAATTTCTATGAGATGTTGATAGTTGGGGCAAATGCGACTAGATGCGCTTTTCAGCTCATCTTTTTACAAAGAGCGTTATACGTCCCTTTGCCTCTCCTTTCTTCTATGTCTGAGACAGGCTAATAATTCCTTCATTTTAGCCTTTAGGTCACACCTAGTTGTGTGTATATAATACTAGCAGGCACACACACACACACACGCACGTGCACAAACAAAGCCAGATGAAATTCATTAATGCTTTCTCATGACTACTTTCCCACTTCCCTCCTGTGCTTTTCTCTGCTTTACCTGCCCAGACTCCTCGGGGCGTATTTCTTCTGCAAGTGAGAAATTCATGTCGGTGGATGGAGACAAAAGGAGCTGCACACAGGCTACAGAATTCGACTCTCTGCTGGTTCCTCTGTGTGCCCCGATTCCTACCGTGTTTCAGAAAGCCACCGCCATCTTTGACCTGAGTCAGACTAAATCCTTTGAGCTTTCTGAGGAAAAGGTGCTACATTGGTAACCAGCATTATAGTAATTCTTTCCTCCCTGGCCAACCTGGGAGGCTTCCTCGTAGTTTACTTTCCAGGTCTTACTCTTGCAAAGTGGAGTCCTTTGTTAGGGTTAGAATTTCCCATAAACCCACTTGATAATTTGTTTTTGTTTGCCCTCTTTGAAATGCTACACAAAGCAATCCCTGTAAAGGGCAATGCTGTCCCGAAGGCTGAGAAAGGTCCCTGAGACAGCGGCTCAAAGTTGCTTTTTCAGGCAGAGCCAGCTGAGTAACCTTATCTCAGGTGGCTGCCTTTTGAGGCGCCCAATTCGGGTGCTTTCCCTCTGGGAGCAGCGTTCGCCCCAGGGGATCATGTGCTTTCGAGTGAGGGGCAAAACTGTGAGACATCCCAGGGCCCAGGACGATATGGTCTGTTCAGAAGAATGTTGGGGAACAGAAGGGGCCCCACAGACCGTGCCCTTCACACCCCCACCCCCACCCCAGCGCCAGTGGAGATCAGCACTTGGCGTCAGGACAGAGCCCAGATTAAGAGAGGAGGTTAGGAGGAAGCAGGGAACCTGGGAAAGGAGGCGAGATTGCGAAGGCACCTGAGTCAAAGGCTGTCAGTCACTTCGGCTCAGGCTGCTCCGCTCGTGAACAGCCCAGCCCTTTCCCGGGGCCGGGGCAGGGGATTGCTACATGCCAGTTTACCTGGGGAAAAACCAGAGCCTCACTTCGGTCCCTTCCGGTAAGTGACACGACAGGGCGCCCTGAAGGGGGAGGGGAGAGCTCCCTCCATAAATGGTCCCACCCCTGGGCAAGGTGGCTCACTCAGGCAGGTAGCAACAGGGGAGTGTGCACCTGCCACCAGTCGAGCTCAGCCAGACTGCCAGACGAGTCGGAGCGAGCTGAGGGAGTGAGTCAACCATGGACAAGTTGAAGTGCCTGAGCTTCTTCAAGTGCAGAGGGAAGGAGGTAGGGGTCTGGAAACCGTGGGAGGTGTGGGGGCCTGGGAAGGGAACACTTCAGGGGAGGCCGGCGCAGGTTTTGCCTTCGGCGGCTGTTTCTTGTTCTCCACATTTCTCTTCTGTTGCCTTCAAGTGTGCCTGAGATGTCCCCATAGGATAGAGGGGAAGGAGAACAACTCTTCCCGGGGCAGCCAGAAGACTTAGGATGGATCACCTCAACCTCTGCCTTGGGTGTGCCCACAAAATCCTGGTTTTTGTCCCTCTCCAGACCGTGTCCATATGCTGGAGGGAAATGAGAAAATGCATTGTCCTTATCTGACCTGAGGAGCCCTCCAGACCCCAGAGCAGCTAACATGTTGGGAGCGAACCCCTTCCCTGTGAGGTGGAGAGAGCGCTACTCCACCTGGTGGGACAGGACAGTTTGTCTCTGAATATTATTCTGTGGCTTCCAGCCAAGGATAGGGAGAGAAGTTAAACTTGCTTTAACTCCAAACATCCCAAACTATCAGCCTATAGGAAAAGGAGTCTATAAACTCTTTTTGTTTGTTTGTTTGTTTTAGTAGAAGCTATATTGGAGCCTTCTTCTCAAAGATCTCCTGCAATCTCGAGAGTGTTGATTTTACCTAATTCATCTTTAAGACTTTGGTATTTTCGAAGTCTCATTTGTGCACCTTCATTTGTCCTTCATGCTGGGTACCACGTGTAATCTTTCTAGCAAAATTTGGATGATCTCACCCAAAGAAGTAGTAAATATTCCCACCTGAAGAGGTTTTTGGTTTTGTTTTGGTTGGTTTTTTTTTTTTTTTTTTTTTTAGGGGGGAATGTTGGAAAGTAAAAGCGGCCATCAGCAGAAATCCCGTCAACCTTTGGAAAGTGTTTCCCTTGGCTAAGGCTTTCAGGGTTCATTCTCCCCCCACCTCTCTCTCTCTCTTTCTCATGTGTGTGTGTGTGTGTGTGTGTGTGTGTGTGAAATTATGCTTCTGTGGATTTTTAATAGTAGAAAGACAAACTCGTGATATTTTCTCTTCTCCAGAAAGTGACGGCTTCATCTGAGAATTTCCATGTTGGTGAAACTGATGAGAATCAGGACCGTGGTAACTGGTCCAAAAAATCGGATTATCTTCTATCTATGGTTGGATATGCAGTGGGATTAGGGAATGTGTGGAGATTCCCCTATTTGACCTACAACAATGGCGGAGGTATTCCCCCCCACCCCTGCCCCAGCTCAACTTCTTTCCCTTCCAGTTTAAATGGTGTGCTGTGTGGCCTCTGAAGCTATTTTGAGAACTGAGGAAAGGTATATGACAGTTTGGGTTAGTAGGGGGATGGGAAACAAGCATACTGCATCCATCATTAGACTGAGTTGCTAGCTCAAGTTAGGAAGCTGGCTTTGCAAAATCCTCAGGTATAAACTTGATAAAAGTTGTACATTTAGCACTTCTGAGTCTCTGGTTTAGGATCCAATGTAATCTTCCACTATGACTTGCTTTTCTTCATTTATACACGTTCATGTGATAATCTGTTCAGACTCAAGTTGTGTTTGGCTTTATTTATGGCTGAATCTAAGCAAGAGGCTGGGGATTCTCTTTCTAATATGAAGCTGAAATACATTGGTTGCTTAAGTAGCATAAGGCATTACATTTTGGAAATACAAGTGTGGAAGGAGATGATTAAGAAATAAAGGTTTAGTATTTTAATCTGCAGTATCAAATTGGATTGACCATGTAGAGGATCCTTCTAGAATGCAACAGACTTTAGTTCAAGACTAGGTGTTTAATTTTTGCAAAATGATACTGTTTATACCTCAGAGATCATTAAGGAAGACTCAGTTAGAACAAGGAGAAAAAAAAATAACTCTGAGGTGACATGCAAAGGGAAACAAAATGAATTGCACAATTCTCTAGTAGTGTCGAAACAACTTTTCACTTACACCATATTTTATTTACTTGTAATTACAGGTTCTATTAGAAGTGTAGAGGTGACATGCCCTTAGATTTCATAATTGGGAACCAGTGAAACTGTGCCACTATAATTATTTTTCTTGGTATAATAGGGTTTTTGTGGTGATGTTTCAATCTTATAGTTCTTGTTAATTGGTTGCATTAGAACACTCATATTGGCCTGTGGAGACTTAAGAGAGAAGCTCTGTTTATCAAACACTTTAAGTGTTGGTGGCAATAAATTCTCCTCTCTGGAGCCTACATTGTTTAGTCATGGGTTGGGTCTAAGTTTGAACTGGAAAATGAGTTAGGAATCAACAATCCTTTGAGTGTTCAAGTCCTAAGGTCTAGTGTAACGAAGAACATTCAAACTTCTTTCTTTCTCTTTCTTTTCTTTCTTTCTTCTTTCTTTCACAGAGGGAGACACAGCGAGAGAGGGAACACAAGCAGGGGGAGTGGGAGAGGGAGAAACAGGCTTCCCGCTGAGCAGGGAGCCCGATGTGGGACTCGATCCCAGGACTCTGGGATCATGACCTGAGCCGAAGGCAGACGCTTAACGACTGAGCCACCCAGGCGCCCCGGCATTCAGGCTTCTTTCCAGCCTCTAGTGCTCAGGTTCAGAAAAACTACAGGTTCAGAAATTCCCTGTGACTTACCATTGTACATCAGTCCAGTGGTGGCCATAAACTTCCAGGAACTATATTAACCTAGGTTTAATAGAGAATTTGAAACGTAGCTCTCCCCAAAATGCTATTATTTATTGTATGCTATTATCTCTCTCACCTTTTCCTCTAAAAATTAATATATCACATCAGTTCTCAGTTTTTAAAGATTCTATCATTTGGGTAATGCATGATCTAGGCTCTTTTGATTGCTTCTTTCTCTCCTGTCCACGTGTAGGAGAGGAACATGAAACTCAGATTTGCCAAGTGTTAATAGATTAGATTTTTAAATATGGTTAGGTTTGGAAAACTATGGCTAAAATCTAGAGTCATTTTTATCTATAGATTCTTTTTACCAGTTTATGAAAGAGAAGTATCACACAACCAAAGGGTCTAAGACGGCAGTATCAACAATTTGGGCCCAGGATATTATGTTAGCAATTTACCAGTTACGGTTGTTAATAAAAACAATAATATAATGGGTAAAAAGCTATATATGCCACTCAGGAAAATAATCTTTTTTTTGAAAAAAAAAAAACCCAACTATTTATAATGGGCTATTAAGATTCACCTTACTGTTGTATTGAGACAGGGATAGTCTGTATTATTTTTCTTCATATTTATCATTGGTAAGACTAAAACTTCTATTAGTCATAGTAGTGATGGTATGTACATTGCAACATCTACGAAAACATATTTGTCCCTATGTTCTAGTGACTAGTGACTTGTACATAACAAGTATTTTATTGCCTTATTATTTTTAATGGAATATATTTTGAGGGTTGGGAAAAATGTAATTCCCAGGTATGACGTTACAATATCATAGTATGAAAAATACATGAGGGAAACATTTGCCACATGGGTCAATGAAATGTATGTAATCCAAAAGCCTATTTTTTAATCTACTGATCCCGTTTTCTTATTAAACTTTGTTAAGACTTCTAGAGTACTTGATCAATAAATTTAGTATTCTGTCCCTGCTTCCACCTACAATCTGGCCAAAGTTCGCACGAGCAATTTATTATGTCCCAGAAGTGGGTGGAAAAAAAATCAAAAAGGGATCTGGATAATCTAAATGTATGAGCATTAGTCCTTCCTTTTAAAATAAAAAGTTAGCTTTTTTTGAGAGAGAAAGAACACTCGCACATGTGTGAGTGCTGGTGCGGGGGAGGGGCAGAGGGAGAGAGAGAATCTCAAGCAGACTCCATGCAGAGGGTGGAGCCCGACACTGATCCCACAGCCCTGAGATCATGACCTGAGCTGAAATTAAGAGTCGGACACTTAACTGAGCCACCCAGGCGCCCCAGAAAGTTAACTTTGAGTGTACCTCAAAACTTCAGAATCTTTTAACAAAACCAAGAAATTTCTTATTGACATTGAGGAAAGACCCTTATGACTAATTGGAGAATAATCCACTTAGCTGCAATAACTTCCACTCTGAACCACATGCAGCATTCGCACCCGAAGTCTTAAAAAAATAGACTATTTGGAAAGGAGAAAAGAGGGAAACTAACTTTGAACAGATACTGTGTGCCTGCCATTTTGCCCAGTGTCTTCACAGAGGCTCTATAATTGAGCGCTTACCACAGACTGATGAGCTGGTATCGCTCTCCCCATTTATGAGGAACCCAAGGTCCCAAGAGGTTAGGTAAATTGGCCCAGGTCACGTAACTAGTAAATGGTAGAGTCAGGATATAAACCTAGGTGTATCTGGCTCCAAAGCCTGTGATCATTCACCTCCTCTGGATTGCTTTTTTATAGGCTATTGTTTTTAATAACCACAGCAACCTCCTTGGGTAATACTAGAATCCCATTTCACAGATGAGGAAACCAAGGTTTAGAGAATCGACTACTTTCCCACAGAAACTAGTAAATCTGGGGCCTAAACCTTGTACTCTTACTCCACTCTATCAGAATGCTTTCAAAATGTTACGCTGGTTATCAACGTGCCATCAACGTTTTGGGACATAATAGTGCTTTGCTTCTATTTTGCATTTTCTAGGTGCCTTCTTGATACCTTATGCGATCATGCTGGCACTGGCTGGTTTACCTCTGTTTTTCCTGGAGTGTTCACTGGGACAATTTGCGAGCTTAGGTCCAGTTTCAGTTTGGAGGATTCTCCCATTGTTTCAAGGTTAGTGTTCAAATGCTCTTCTTATTGTGCCTACTGGTCCCTTGGGGTCTATAGCTGTCCTCACTAGGGGGCGGGAAAATGTTTCGTATTTGGACATGGTAAAGGCAAAGCAGCAGATGTTGTTTTGCTGAATATTTGCCAGAGAATTGAAAGACCAAATGGTAATTTGGATTTCTGTTTCTCTCAGGCCGAAGATACAGAAAGGGTTAGGGAGGATACTGGGGGGGGGGTCGTTATTGTCCTATAGTCACATTTTACAGTCCCGTGGCACATAGTTATAGGCCGGTTGTGCATTAACTTCGCGGCTCTGGCTTTTTGCTCCTTCATGTGCAGTCTTTTGTCTTCTTGCCTTTGCGTATCTTTTACAATGCCTCATTCAGATAAGTTGAAGGGCAGGTCACTATGTTTTCTGTGATACTCCCTAATAGGACACTGGCGAAGTTTTTCAGAGTGCCTTGATTGTTATTAAACATCAAACAGCCTTCCTGTATGAAGATTAGATATACTTTTGGTGTGTGCTAGTGGCTGCAAACTCTCTGTGAAAGCTTCAATACAGCACCAAATATAAATTTAGAGTGAGGCGAACAGAATATTGTGAGGGAATATGAAGGAAGCTACCTCAAAAGCAAGTCTTGAGTGTATGGGTTATATTCAGGATGCTAAACTGCATCTTGAAACTATGGAGTTCAAGAAACTTTGGAAGTTTAAATTCAGATTGTTACTGGATTATTGACTTTTCTTTACATGTGCTGCTAGAAATCCTGTACGTCAACTCCGAGCCTTTATCTTCTACTTGCCAAAATATTGGCTTATAGATGAAGATGTAAGTAGTGGTCAGTGGGTCGATAGGATATGAGCTTTGTTTGTTTGTTTTTAAGAACAGGACCCACTCTGACAAGAACTTTCAGACATAATAAGAGAGTGATGGCCATGGGCGATTCTTTACGTGAACTTGATGGATCCACACAGGTCTTCTGCCCTTGGTCTTAGTACCATTTTCTAATTAACTAAAAAAAAAAAAAAAATGGTTTCAGAAAGCCAATCATCAAAATAATTTTAAATTTGGGAAGAAAGCTATTTAGACAGTAGTCCTTCCTCCCCACTCCCCTGCCCCCACCCCCCAAAAAGAAAAGACAATGTTTGAACCTGCCTTCTCATTTTCAAATAGATTTTGTGGAAATTGAGAGGCAGCTTTTTTTTTTTTTATGAATTAGCAGAAGAAATTGCACTTGTTTGTTTTTGATTTCAATTGTTCTCTTTTCCAGGTGTGGGAATTACAATGGTCCTGATATCCATTTTTGTGACAATCTATTATAATGTCATAATTGCCTATAGTCTTTACTACATGTTTGCTTCTTTTCGAAGTGAACTACCATGGAAAAATTGCTCATATTGGGCAGATGAGAACTGTAGCAGATCGCCTATAGGTAAACTTCATTTATTTACTTAAAAATATTGTGAACGAAGCATCATTCTTTTATTTTTTTCTAATAAGCTTAAAGGATTACATGATTTTCTAACCAATTTAGGGGCAATTTAAAGCGAGCCACGGGTGGGGCACCTGGCTGGCTCAGTCTATAGAGCATGTGACTCTTGATCTCGGGGTTGTGAGTTCGAGCCCCACGTTGATTACTTAAAAATCAAATCTTAAAGTGAGCCCAGGGTTATTGATGAAAGCAGGATAACTTTGGATAACTTTGAAAACTGATTAATGCAATATTTTAATTTCTGAGAGCCACCAGTAAAGCCAAGCCATCCTTAGGACTAGGCAGGAGAGAAGGAAGAAAGTGGGAGAGTGGTAGAGACAAGCACTATCCATGATAGATAGTACTAGTGTGTTTCAGGAGCCAGTGAGTATCATCCACATAATAAGTTGCTGATCTTTGGGATCAAGTAGTATTGATATTATAGACTATTACCACTGGGATTGTCTATGTATATCAGAGAATAAAGTAATAAAGCTTTAATGCTTCTTAGAGATTTAAAGGTGTCATTTATCTATATAGGTTAAGTAAGTCCACATACTAAAAATTCCTTAGAGCACTAAGTCCTGTTCGAAATGATTGTTACTTTATAGCGGTAATTATTATACATATAATCATAGTTTAAAAGGGCAGATATTTACTCACCCCCAGCTTGGTAGTAGAGAAGATTTAAGATGCTGAATGTGCATGGCTTATTCCATTTGCAAGATTTCTCCTCTGCCCTCACCAAGTAACAATCTAAATGGTTTAATTATTTTACCATTAAAACTTTTTTCAGGAGGGGCACCTGGATGGCTCAGTCTGTTGAGCAGCCGACTCTTGGTTTCGGCTCAGGTCATGATCTCAGGGTTCTGGGATCCAGCCCTGCATCAGACTCCACGTTCAGTGGGGAGTCTGCTTTTCTCTTTCTCCCCCTCTGCCCCTCAGCTCACATGCTCTCTCTCCCTCTCAAATGAGTAAATAAATCTTAAAAAAAAACACAACACTTTTTTTTCCAGGAAAGTACTTGTCTAAAACTAAGTACGTGTCTGTGTGTGTATTCTTTTTTTATAATTTTTAGTTACTCATTGTAATATCAGCACAATTTCGGGGGAGATCATCCGAGTGAATAAAAGCTGGGTAGACGTCAACAGTTTAAACTGCATCAATGGAAGTGAAATTTATCAGCCAGGGCAGCTTCCCAGTGAACAATATTGGAAGTAAGTATGCTAGATGATCTACTTCTTTTTGTTTTTTTGGTTTTTTTATTATATTATGTTAATCACCATACATTACATCATTAGTTTTTGATGCAGTGTTCCATGGTTCATTGTTTGTGTATAACACCTGGTGCTCCATTCAGTACGTGCCCTCTTTAATACCCATCACCGGGCTAACCCATACCCCCACCCCCCGCCCCTCCAGAACCCTCAGTTTGTTCCTCAGAGTCCATAGTCTCTCACGGTTCGTAGATGATCTACTTCTTAAACAGATGTTATTTAAAAGTTCTTGTAAATAACAATAAAATATTAATCAGTTTGTTCCTTACCTCATATAGGTAGGAAAAAAAGGGGAATCAGAGCAAATTATACTTAATAGGACTCAAATGCTTACCTAGCCTGTGTGGGGAGTAGTAACCTGAAGGATCAGCTTCTAGTCAACAAATTGTCATTTGTAAATTGTTTATCAAATGAGCGCAATACTGTCAGTAATGCTCTGTTCCGTGCTTATTATATATAAGTTAGGGCATTGCTCTGAAGAATAAAATACTCAAATTTTAGACTATAATGAGCAAATTTGAATAATAAACTGTTGGGTGATGAGTAATATTGGGGGCAAAATTGCCATTTAAAGCTGCGATTCTTCATTATCCAGTTTGCTTATAATTGTCATTATATGATAAAATAGATATTCAGGGTTATATTTATTTGTATTAACTTCAATTGATCACTCTTTACTCTTCTGACTTATACCTACCTTTTACCCTTACCAAACTGCCTTGATTATTGCTGTAATGAGCTCTTCCTCATCTACATGTTCATGCTCTGTGGGACCCTTTCAAAAATTGGATCTTAAAATGTTCCCAAACACCAAGCTAAGAATTAAAATCCTAGATCTATGCATGTCCCTAATAGAAATCATTGATTTTTACAGAAAGCCTTTGAAAGAGTCATAAAAATTTGGATCATTTAGGTTTGATGCTAACTATAAGTATGATGAATAATTTAATTTTAGATGTTTTCTTCATCTTTTTACCTTGAGAAAAATACTGTAACAAATAAAAGAAATAATCTGATAAGGTTCTTTTTTTTTTACATAAAAGATCTTTGAAATATTAGAGGGAAAATCATAGCTAAAGGAATTAGTAGATTTTTTATTCTGGGGTTTAGAACTTTGGACTGGCTACAGTTAACCCTAAAGTTCAGAGCCTAGCTTTTTACTCTACTATTTTTGCCCCTCTGTACAATAGTATCAATAAAAGGCTCACATGGGGGTGCCTGGGTGGCTCAGTCAGTTAAGTGTCTGCCTTCGGCCCAGGTCATGTTCCTGGAGTCCCAGGATGGAGCCCTTCACTGGGCTCCCTGCTCAGCGGGGAGTCAGCTTCTCCCTCTGACCCTCCCCCCTCTCATGCTCTCTCTTTCACTCTCTCTCTCTCTCTCTCAAATAAATAAATAAAATCTTTAAAAAGATAAAAGGCTCCCATGACATTGATGTATTAGTAAGATAGAACACTCATGAAACATCTCCTTGGATGATAGATATTACAAAATTCAATGTATGAAGACAAGTGATTCTGTGTTCATAAAAAAGGCTTGTGTGTTTTCAGTAAAGTGGCACTCCAGCGGTCAAGTGGAATGGACGAGACTGGAGTAATTGTGTGGTATTTAGCACTTTGTCTTCTTCTGGCTTGGCTCATAGTTGGAGCAGCGCTATTTAAAGGAATCAAGTCTTCTGGCAAGGTAATTTGGAAAACACATTAAATGGTGATGTAGCTCTTTTCCGATTTCATTGCAGTTCAATGTCAAGCATAATCAAATGCATGTTTTTTTCTATAATGGGAACATTCAAATGTGTGAAAAGCTTTCTAAGTAGGCAGCCTAGCTGTAGGAAAATACATAAGATCCCTGCTATTGGTACAAATACAACAAAACAAGCAAAACTAGTACTAGGGTTGTGCAATTACAGCTGACCCTTGAACAACGTGGGGGTGAGGGGTGCCAAAACCCCCTTGCACTTGAAAATCCAGCTATAACTTTTGACTCTCCCACAACTTAACTACTAACAGCCTGATGTTGACCAGAAACCTTACTGATAACCTAAAGTCAATTAACACCCATTTTAGTATGTTATATATATTATATACCTTATTCTTACAATAAAGTAAGCTAGCAGGGCGCCTGCGTGGCTGAGTCGGTTGGGTGTCTGCCTTTGGCTAGGGTCGTGGTCCCAGGGTCTTGATGGACCCCCGCGTCAGGCTCCCTGCTTGGCTGGGAGCCTGCTTCTCTCTCTGCAGCTCTCCCCTGCTCATGCTCACTCTGTCTCTCAAATAACTAACTAACTAAATAAATAAAATCTTTAAAGTAAGCTAGAGAAAAGAAAATGCTATGAAGAAAATCACTGGAGGACATCCATTTGCAGTACTGTATTTATTGAAAAAAAAAAAAATCCTCATCTAAGTGGATCCACACAGTTCAAACCTGTGTTGTTCAAAGGTCAACTTTATCAGAAGTCGGACCCTACTAGCTAATACAGCATTCGGAGACTTGAGTGTATATTTTAAAATTGTGTGTCCTATTACAGAAGTAAGCATCTAGGATGGAATTACATATTGCCATGTTTGGTTTGGCAAGTCTAGATCCTCGTTATATAAGGTTCGTGTAGGGATTCCTTCAATGGGAGAGAGAGAAAAAAAATCAAATATGTAGTTGTTCTCTTAAAGCTGGCCAGAATTGACTCAGAGCCCTCTTTTTCAGTGAGGAGTCCTCTTCTGAAAAACATTATACTTTCCCCCTTTATTGTTCTGTTTTTTAAACTTTCCCAAGAGCATCATGGCAATTTCAGGGAACAACATAAAATTTTCTCCATGAACAGTTGTACAGTACCCAGAAAAGTGAATATTCATGGTAACTACCAGACTGAAATCTCCTTAAAGATGGAAGACCAGGATAGCTGTGGATACTACCTTTGTGTTCCTGGTATGATATCCGGCGTGTTCAGTTCATGCTCAATTATGATGAGACATTCTGTTAGATCACAAAACTATTGTGAACCTCACAAAGTCAGTGGAAACTTTCCAAAATAATGTTTCAGTTGCACATTTTTGAGACCCATGGTTCCTTTTTGACGTTAATATTGAAATAATCCATTGAAGGCCATTTGCCTAGGCGATTAATTTTTACTGGTCTCTGGATGACTTTAAATTGTCTCCTTGGGCGTATTATCAAACACAGGACATCTATGGATCAAAGAAATTGTCTATATTAATGAAAAGCCGGCCTCAAAGGCAATCTGCTCATCTGGAACCATGTGTTATCCAGGATACAAGTACAGTGCTATGTGTGCTACCAAACGCCTTTAATGGTATCTCTAAGGATAATAATACCAAGTGTTCAGTATTCACTTTAATCAGCTTCCAGGGGATTTGGACATCTACTAGGAGATTATTTTCCTTCTCCTTGGGGACTGAATATATACTTACTATTGCAGGTATACAAGCATTTCCCTTTCTACCTCAATGTAGTAATTTACCAAGAAGTGATATTCAGTCCCTTCGGACATTTACAAAGACATATTTAGGAAAGCACTCTACCTAGATTCCAAGTTACCCCTGCTGATGTACTGTGTATTTACAATGTGAACCCAGGAAATACTGCTTCATACATCAGAGTGTTTTGAAAATGGATTATCCGAGATTGGGGAGAAGAGAAAGAGAAAATTATGCCATTTTTGGTATTGGTATCACCAGGTTTATTAATAGCTTATGAAATCCTTTAATACTTTATTTTACTAATGTCAACCGGCTAATAACTTTGTGCATATACAGTTATATAACAGGACTTAAAAATTTAACTTATCCACCACTGGTTGTTTTTCTTGGTAGGTGGTATATTTTACAGCTATTTTCCCCTATGTTGTCCTGCTCATCCTGCTAATCCGAGGGGCGACTCTGGAGGGTGCCTCGAAAGGCATTTCATACTATATTGGAGCACAGTCAAATTTTACAAAACTTAGGGAAGCTGAGGTAAGACTTCATTTGGATTTCAAATTATCTGAGGAGGTAAACCTTAAAAGCAAACACTGAAAATCTTGGTTGCATATGAGTGTCATAATGTAGTGGCTTTCAAAAGAACATGGAGTTAAATTTATTAGTGTTTCTGTCCACTAGGAAGTCCAATGTAGCCATTTAACATGACACTAGTGCTTTCCTTTTGGAAGTGAGGTAATCATTTTTAGTAGTAAGCTTTAAAAGTCATATTATTCATATAACTGATTCTATTTGACCAAAAGGATTTGGGGCCTATTAATCTGAGAAAGAACCTTTCCTGTTTGGATACCTACCTACAAGTTGATGAGTAGGACGGTGAGACTTCTTGGATAAACTCATAGATTTCAAGATTACAGGTGAAAGTCTAATGGTCTAATATACATTTTAGTTGTCTTCAAAAGTTAATATCCCCCAAGTTAAGATCAAAGTGTACCTATTGGATTATGAAGTTAAACCACAAATTTGAAATGAAGCATTCCATAAATGAAACTGTTATTTGTCATCATAAATGTGTGCCATGAATATGAATTGGATAACCCTCTTTTAACTTTAGTCTGTCGCCAGATAATGGCTGTGTATATCATGGATACATAAAATCTTTTACACTTTTGACTGCAGAGAGCATATAGATTAAGTGCACTCTATATAGGATGCATCTATTCACACAGCCTAAGAATGGTTTCACTTTGTCAGTAATCACATCACATTCTTGGCACACATTAAGCTTCTGGCCAGCTAAAACACCAAGTCTTACGTTGAAGTCAAGAAACACTGTTACTATAATCTTCCATACTAGCAGTGCTATCCAAAATGGATATTCGTTTGTTTGCTATGGTATTCTTTGAGGAACTGATGCTAATTTCCAACAATTTGCTATTTTCTAAATGCTTACAATCTGGATATTTATTTTTTTAAGATTTTACTTATTTAGAGAGAGAACGCATGTATGGGGAGGGGCAGAAGGAGATGGAGAGAGAGAATCTCAAGCAGACTCTGCACTGAGCATGGAGCCTGGCACAGGCTTGATCTCATGACCCTGAGATCATGACCTGAGCCAAAATCAAGAGTCAGATGCCTAAACCACTGAACCACTCAGGCACCCTACAATCTGGGTATTTAATTATTTGTTGTAGAATTTTTCTGGTAAGCGAGTCAAATTTATCACTTTTTAGTCATGGCAATCCATCCTTTACCTTTTTTGAAAATTGAGATGTCAGTGTCTGGCCTTTGGTTTCCTGTATCCAAATAATTTTCACTCAGCAACTAACCCACAACAGACTTAAATTATTTTAGAACTATGGACTTTTATTATTTTAGTCTTGGAGATTAATATAGTTTGATGTGTCCACAGGCCATTTGTTCATTTCTTCGTTTATCTTGGGCCTCACATCTTTTAACCTTGTTTGTTGATATCTTTCCAACTTGAAGACCATTTTTGATGATGCATAAGAAACAAATAAAATGGAAGTTGGGATTCATCATCTTCTCTCTGTTAGGTTGTTATACAAGATAAAATATTAATTAATGCACTTTCAAAATGGTAAACTGTTATATAAATATGAGCACACACTGATTTCGATTATTGCTATATTATACTCTACTATTATGGATGCAACATTTTCCCTAAGAAGTGGACCCTCCATTTTCTTTAAACTTCTTAACTTTGAGCACAGGTGAAAAGCCCCTTTGATATTCTTTAAGTGACTTTTCCAAGCCTCAGATCACCTGAGCTTTATAGTTCCTGAAAAATTTATATGATTATTTTATATTGGTCTGTTTCAATGTCTCTATTACCTTTAACATATCAGACCTAAACCTAAAGCTCCCTTTGAAACATACAATTTAATCCTCCCTACTCTTCACCCCCAATAAATACAGTACCCCCACTGGTACTGTATTACTGCTGGTAATAAGAATTTTTTTTCTTAGACCTTTTGTATTTCTCACAATCCATATTCTGAGCATGGGATCATAAATATATATTTTTTTTCCTTTTCTTTGAATATCTGAACTTTGTTGCAACCATACAAATTTATAGCTAGAAGGGTCTTCTGGTCTTCAATGATTATTTTACTAACTCCTTCATTTTACAGTGATGAAATTGAAACCCAGGAAGAGTCCCATTTAGTTAAGTTTACACAGCCAGTTTGTGCATCTTGAATTAAGATTTTCTAATCCCTAAATTACTAATTTTGTATATAGCTATGAGATTGATAGATACGGAGATTAGAACTATGTTTGGACTTTTGCTTCACTTTATTTGCAACCTAGGTACACATCATGGTCTGCAGTAGCATTTTGTTAGAATCCAGACCTGCTACACCAATTTCCAGCTCCCCCTAACTCACATATGAATACAAAATGTATCAGATAAAAGCAGCTGAGACATCAACATAAGCATGTTGTTCATCCCTTAATATGTACAGGTGCCTAAAAAATAAGAGCATTTAATTTGTAATGATTTTGTTATAAGTGAAATAACATCTATCTATCCATCCACTCACTTTGCTTTCTACTGGCTGCCTGCCATTGTAAAGCAATTATAATGTAATAATAATCTAACATCAAGCTGTGTTCTGAGGACCTAGTAAATTTTATTCCCCAATGACTTTTATATCTATTGAAATTGGAAATAGATTACATACCTTTCAAAGGGGAAATTATAATTTTTAAGTTCCATAAAAGAAACCGAGTATCAATTTATGATTATTTTCCATAATAACAATAACAGCTACCATTGAGCATCCTAATTGCTTTACATATGCTATCTTACTCAATTCTCACATCATTCCTAGTACACGTATATCATCATCATCATCATCATCTCCATTTTACAGATGAAAAACAGGCTTAAAAATGTTAAATACAATGAAGTCAAGGAGAGTAAGAGGTACTGGATATAAATTTCATTCTTTTTGACTCCAGAGTTAGAGCTCTTTGTCGCCACGTTATATGGATGCTTTTCACTGAGCAGTCCTGTTTTTCAATGGACTAAAAATTAAAAAAAAAACCACTTTTGCCCAAATCTTTGCCAATCTATTTGAAATCTATACAATTAGGTTTTTTCTTTTGTAATGTTCTATCTACAGATTTTCACTGTTAACATGGATTTGCTTAGTTTCTAAGATTATTGTCCTTTAGCAAAGATATAAGAGGGGTAAATTGTAAAAGGCAGACTAGTAAAAGGGTAGGATTAGATGGAATGAGTGGGAGGCTGCTTAAAGAGTTGAGGTCGGCTACGTGAGGCTCTAATCGAACAAACATGGGATGAGAGAACTGGTGATCTAAGGGATTCTAAGTATATCATTATTCTTCAAAAATTGCCTAGTACTGTCCTTGTTAAGAATGGATATGTATCTATTGTCCCCAAACTGATATGTAGAGTCAATAGAATTTTAATCAGATTTGAAAGCACAGTTTTCCTTAGATGTTGAGAACGGATTGTAAAATTTACATGCAAGAGAAAAAGGCAAAAAAAACCCGTTTTTGAAGACGGAAGACTTGTCCTACCAGATATGAAACAATATTATAATGCTATAGGAATTAAAATAATGTGGGGTTTGCGTAGATAGAGATTTACAGATCAGTGGGACAGAATGGTCTCAGAAATAGATTCATGAACATTTGGAACTTGATATGTGGGGAAAGGATGGACTGGCTAATTGATATAACTGACATCCAAATGATTATCTTTAGACAACCGATACTCCATTTAGAAAAGAAAATGAATTGGACTTTCCAATTTAATATGTACTGTATCAATTTTTCAGACTAATTGAAAACAATATGAACAAAGCTTTAAATCTTTTAGAAGAAAATGTAGGGCAGTATCTGTGATCTTTGGCTAAAGTTTCTTTTTAAGTCAGAGAAATCAAGGACAATACATAAAAGCAAAGATGGGCACCTTTAGTCACATTAAAACCACAACAAAATCTTTGGCTCATCGAAGGTCACGATGTTAAGAGGTGAATAAGAATAAGCCACAAATTGGGAGGAAAAAATAACATATATGATAGACAAAGGATTAGAATCCAGCATACATAAAGAATTTCTAGAGATCAAAGAAGACAAATAACCCAAACAAGAAGTTGGCAAAAGACCTGAACAGGAATTTCACAGGGAAAAAAAACCTGTGGAATACAAAGACATAAAAACACACTAAACCTTATAAATAATTAGGGCAATGAAAACTCTCATTTGACAGCTACCAGATTGGAGAATATTAAAAATTCTGACCAATATTGGCAAGAACGTGAAGGAATGGGAACTCTCACACCTAGCTGGTCAGAGTCCAAAGTGGTAAAATAATATGGCACTATTTCATAAAAGAGAAGATGCATATACTCTTTGACATCACAGTTCCTTAACTCGGTATGAGGAGACATGCACAGGAATACTTATAGCTACAACATTTTTAATAGCAGAATATTGAACCACCTCAATGTCCCTCAACAGGATAGAGGATGATCTGTGGTATATACCGTGGGGCAATACAGCAGTGAAAAAAAATGTTCAAAACTACATATGTTTAACTAAACCATATGGATTTGTCTATATTTTTTCAGTTTTGACACAAAATTAAAATTTCATATGGTTCAAATTGATAACGGATAACTCTCATACAATACCGAATGAAAAAAGGCAAGGTGTATAAGTTTACATGCATTTAGAAAACTTTTCTATCAACTCAATAACATGAAAAGCTAAACACCGTATTGCTTGGGTTTACATGTTTCTAGGGTAAAAATCTAAAGAAAAAACGAGGAAATGAGAAACCCAAAAGTCAGGATAGCAGTTACCACTGGAGGGTGAAGGGTGATCTAATCAGAAAGGGGCCCTGGGAGTTTTCCAAAGACTGGTAACATTTCATTTTTTAAGCTGAGCAGTGGATTTGGTGTTCTGGTGTTTACTTCATTATTATTCATATTTATTCATTTGTATATATGAAGTCTTTTGTAGTAGTAAAAAGTTTAAAGTGTATGTTTTTAAAGATAAAATTATCTTCTCTTATAGGTTTGGAAGGATGCTGCCACTCAAATATTTTACTCCCTTTCAGTGGCTTGGGGTGGCTTAGTTGCTCTATCATCTTACAATAAGTTCAATAACAACTGCTTCTCAGATGCCATTTTAGTTTGTTTGACAAACTGCCTCACTAGTGTGTTCGCTGGATTTGCTATTTTTTCTATATTGGGACACATGGCTCATATATCCGGAAAGGAAGTTGCTCAAGTCGTAAAATCAGGTATGTGATGCTCTACATTAATAACTTCAATTAATTCGGTGTAGCTCATTTAAGAAACACTAATATATTTTATAGCAATTTACTTAAAGCACTCAAGCAAGGTTTAGGGTGCTGCATTTTCTTTCTCATTGCATCTTATATAATTTGATTACTTTAATGATGTAATAATTCTTAGATGGTCTGAATAAACAGGACTATATGAGGGAATAATTGTTTAAGAAAATAATTTTCTGAATTTTGTCTGGTCCTTAATATGAACTGTTTACTGTACAAGTATCAGGCATCATGGATGCCTTTACATGTGTTATCTTCATTTAATTTATACACATACACACATATACATGTGTGTATTCATATATATATGACTGTATGAGTGTATATGTGTGTGTGTGTGTGTATTCCTCCATGTACAAGTGCAGCCTTGGGTCTGAATTTTTTTTGGGGTCTGCATTTTTAAAACACATTAATATCATATAGATAGAAACCCAGGTAACTTTGAGTGTCCAGCTATGTCCGGCTTTAAAGGAATCTGATTAATGAACTTCCTAACTTTAAAGACATTAGCTAGGGATGCTTAATTATCTGGTTAAGATTCTTAGGAAAAGAATTCCAGGGGTTTAGTAGTAGGAATCCCTCATTAAATTTTTATTTATGGCCAATATCATTTGATGGAGAGACTAATGCAGGAAAATAGAATGTTAGGACTAGAAGGGACTTTACAGATAATCTAGTGTCCAGCTCCTCATTTACAGAGAAGTGGACTGATGCACAGAAATGTTATGTCTTGCAGAAGATTAAATGATTAGGAAGTGACAGAGCCTAGGCTAGAAGCGAATTCTCCTGAATCTTAGGTCAGTCCTCTGGGAGTCTGGAGAAACTTAAAATACTTCAAACAACCAAGTATCACATAATATAATTGAAAAAAAAATTAAAAGCACCTCTAACGATAATATACATCAAATAGAAAATAAGATTCAGCTTCTAGTTTTGTTACATACAATTTTGCAAGTGGCCATATACTAATTAAAATTTAGGCACTACAGCTAGTGACCCTGGGTGAACATTTGGAGAGATGGCTGCAGACTAAAAATGTAGTTCCATAAGCATAGCTTTCTTGATAGTGTAATTCTTCTAGAATTTCTAGGCTAAGATAACAATTTAGGTTTCTGGAGTTTAAGACAGCTGTTATTCTTCATGAATCTCTAAAAAATGAAATAGGTTAAACAAAATCGTTAAATAGTTAAGATTTCTTATGCGAGAAATGTACCATTTACAAAATTCATCTCACTAGCTTAATGCACATCACATGCTCACATTATCACTTCATTGAACAACCAAGTCAAATATTCTTAAAAGTGCAAGTGAAATAGTTGCCCGAGAATGTATATCATGGATTGCGTCGGCAAATTAAAATGAAATTTTTCTAGTATCTTATTTTGAAAATGTCCAAATGTGTGAACTTTTTGGCCACTAATTTAAATGAAATTCATACATTTTTCTTAGGTTTTGATTTGGCATTCATTGCTTATCCAGAAGCGTTAGCCCAACTCCCAGGTGGCCCATTTTGGTCCATATTATTTTTCTTCATGCTTTTGACTTTGGGTCTCGACTCTCAGTTTGCATCCATTGGTAAGTAATACTCCCAGTGTTACCATATCCCTCTTATATTTTACGCATGTTTCCTCTACTTAAAAACATCCTTTTCTTACCCTTGTTTTCCCCATTAGCTTTTACTCTTAGAATCTGAAAATTCTTTTTAACTTGATTTTAAATACGGAAAAGTACAAAGTACTTATGTTGTAGATACCCAAAAGGAACAGACATTAATATCTTATGTTTGCTTCAGAAATGAAATTGAAGTCCCCTCTTTTTCTCTCCCATATACAATTCACATTTCTTCCTTCCTAGAACTAACTGTCCCCATGGATTATGTGTTACTCAGTCCATGTCTGTATATGTTATATATGTATCCATAAATAACATATAAATGTTGTCACATAAATGTGAAGTTTCATAACATACATATCATTCTGACAGTTGTTTTTTTACATGTATTGTGAATCTGTGTTGATACATACTCAAATAGATCGACTTAATTCACAATGTGTTGCCATAATGATGGGCAGTTGGATTATTTCCGATTCTGACAAATTACACACGCTATTGCAATGACTGTTCCTGCACGTGGCTCTATGTACACATAGGGGTTTTCCCTAGGGTACACACCTAGACATTCTGAAACATTATTCATCAGATCACTCTTACATAACACACTTTAATAGTTGACTACGTACAGCAGAAAGTCTGGCTTCCTCTGGTTGACTTACAAAGCCCTTGAACATTTTAAACCTGTATCTTAATTCTTTCACCCCTACAACCTTCTGCTTTCAGCCAGTACTCTCTTTCATGAACACATTTATTTCTTAAACCTAGAAGGCCTTTCTGTCTCCATGCCATTTATTCAAATATTCACCTTATTTAAAAGTTCTCCTAGAATTCTTCCTTTCCCATAACCCTCTTTCAAACTACGTCAGCCCTCAGGGATCTATTACCCTGTAGTTACTAGCGATGAAAAACCTTGTAAAACAGACCAAAAACAACAAAGAAACAGAGCTGCATTTGGTTTTTATCCAACCCATCAAGTGGTGACTGCCAAGAGAAAGGACCCTATGGAGTTTTATTTTATTTTTATTTTTTTTTTAAAGATTTTATTTATTTATTTGAGAGAGAGAGAGAATGAGAGATAGAAAGCACGAGAGGGAAGAGGGTCAGAGGGAGGAGCAGACTCCCCGCTGAGCAGGGAGCCCGATGTGGGACTCGATCCCGGGACTCCAGGATCATGACCTGAGCCGAAGGCAGTCGCTTAACCAACTGAGCCACCCAGGCGCCCAGGACCCTATGGAGTTTTAAAAGCAAGGGGTAGGCCCTGGGTGTGATATGCAACTGATGAATCCCTGAACTCTACCTCTGAAACTAATAATACATTATATGTTATTTAATTGAATTTAAAGAAGATAAAATTTAAAAAGAAATAAAAAATAAAGCACTTCATGTAGGGAAAAATAACTAAAGCAAGGAGTAGGACCCAGAGTATATTTTCAACATATATTTGTAAATTTGATTAATAGAAGTTGAATTCTTTGATTAAAATTATTGGCAAATGAGTTGACATATGACATGCCATTTTTTTCCCCTTCTGAAGAAACAATTACAACAACAATTCAAGATTTATTTCCCAAAGTGATGAAGAAAATGAGAGTTCCTATAACTTTGGGTTGCTGCTTGGTTTTGTTTCTCCTTGGTCTCGTCTGCGTGACTCAGGTATTACTATAGTATTTTTTCATAGACAAATCATTAGTTGGAACGTGCTTTATAATCTAAAGGAGGAAAACAAAGGTTTAAGAGGATGTTTAGGAACAAGTCCAAGTCTGATTCAGCTCAAGGCTTTCTGAGTTTTAGCCCAGAGTTTTTCCCAGTATAGCACAATTTCGATAGTTAAGTATATTGTGAAGAGGGGTGGGGACCCATTATTGGACAATTTCTCCAATTACAATAAAGTTATAAACGTTCAATACATACTAGACTTTTGATAGCTACCACACAGCACACAGCCACTGCATGTCATTTTGATAATCAACTACTCTAAATGCTTTTTCTCCAGTGACTCAGTATAGGATGAAAGGTGCATCCTTTTTGAGATATTTAAAGCCACATTTGTGTTTACATTTGAAAATATTCCTTTTTCACATCTTAGCACAGGTGAAACCAAGGAGCACATGTTCAAATCAAATGAATAGATTTGATTTAAAGACTTCATCAATCATAAAAATAATTAAAAATATACTTAGATGTAATTGGTTTTTTTTTTTTTGGTAGGCTGGAATTTACTGGGTTCATCTGATTGACCACTTCTGTGCTGGATGGGGCATTTTGATTGCGGCTATACTGGAAATAATAGGAATCATCTGGATTTATGGTAAATAGTAACTATAGAATTATCTATGCATTTTATTAAAATAACTTAGTGTGATTCTTTTTCATTATGTTTACTAAAATTGTAAAGTATAATAATACTGGAAAAAAGGTGTATACTTCATTGCTGTAGAATAAGAAAATGTTTAGACAGAAAGATAATTTGGGGCCACAATTATTAATAGAGGAAAATGTGAGCAAGGACTGAATGTACTTTTTTTTTTTCGTAAGGTGGGAACAGATTCATTGAAGATATAGAAATGATGATTGGAGCAAAAAGGTGGATATTCTGGCTATGGTGGAGAGCCTGCTGGTTTGTCATTACACCTCTTCTTCTGATTGTAAGTAATTAATATGCCATGAATTTGGTATCAATGATATATATATGACCACTTCTAAGATAAACTTGAAGAATAATTCATATCGGAGACAATAAGGCAAACTAAGTTCATAAATTAATGACTTTCAAATTTTGCTTTATGACTGCCAAGTTCCCTCAAAATGCCTTCGCAGTATTGTTTTTGAGGCTATAGGTTTAAACATTTACCATTTGAGAAAATGAACAGGCTCCTATAAAGGTCCTACATACTTAAAAGTTATCAATTGAATAAAAATAAATCATTCATCTGCTGGTCCCCTAAAAAATATGCTGAGTCATCTACAATGTTCCTAAACTCTCTGCGAAGACCCAGACGTGGACTGCAAGGAATGTGATCTAAATATATTAATTGCTAAGAAACAACACTCAGATTTTAATGCATATTTTTTTTTCTTCATGGGAGGGATTTACTATCTGAAATTACTAAAAGAAACCACTGTCAACAGAGGCAATAGTTTATGTTAAATTCAACAATTGGTGCTATTTAGGAACTGAGGGAAAGCAAAAGATAGCCTACTGGAGAGACCCGGCATATATACATGATATCGTTAAATAACAGTTCAGGGCAGTCAGTGACAAAATAAACACTTAACAGGATGGAGAATTACTGCAATGGTGGAGGTGGGGCAGTGGCAAAGCTTCACAGAGGATGTGTTTTGGTTCTCATTGCCTCCAGGCTTCAAAGCTTTTCCTGGGAAAGGGCATTAAATAATTTGATCCAGAATTTGCTTCACATCTGAAGTATTATGTTTGTTTTAGAGGGTGTTAAGTTTTATTTTTTTTCACATTTTATAAGGTCAGTTTCAAGTAGGGAGCAGTTTGGGACTGGATGTACTGAATTAAAATATTTTGGATGTTCCATATTCTAGCTAAATGATTTAGACAGTGGTACTAAATATTGTTTTCCTCTTCTGACAATTCTCCATAATAAAATAAACCCTTTATCAATTAAGAAGCTCTCACCAGACTTTTTAGCCAGCTAGTTTTTATTGATTACATAGCTTTGACAACTGGATTTAATTTAAAATGCAAAAGTATTATATATTAAATGATATACATTATCGTCTGTTTTGTATAAAGTGATGTGAAGTCATGGATACTCCAGTATCCCTCATCCAATTCTCTTGTAGTTATGGAAAAAAATTATGATAATGGGGAACTACATTTAAATTACTGTAATTAAGTAGAATTCATCTATTAAATTATTAATTAATCTATTAGATAAAATTAATCTATTAAACTTTACCTATTTGATATTCTTACATTCCATTTCCCCACTGATTTTAGTAAAACATAGACAGCTAAATAATTTAGAGAAACTACTAGGTGACTCTGGTTTTTGTTTGTTTTGTTTGCTTTACGGGTTTCTAAATAATTAGTTTTAATGCTGCAACATGTCTAGTAGGTTTTTGAAAAAGTTTTTTTTTTAACTTGGCTTTTAAGTGTTTTCCTTGTTAAGATTCAGATTTCACTGTTTTACCCAAACATACATTGAGCTTGTTTTTCTCTCAAAGAGAGGCTGGAAGTGAAGTGTGCTTTAGCAAATACGTACCAGTAGCTTGTGAATGTGTCTGTGTTTTTGGTGTGGAGTAAGGGGTGCTCTGTGCAGAGAGAAATAATAGAAGCAACTGCTAAGCAAGGAGCAAAGCATGTTCACTAAAGGGTACTTTACATTCTCCTTGAATGAATTGATATGCTGGCTAGCTTACAGCATAGAATAAAACCATACTATTATAAGTGAAACCTAAAAGTTCAGTCATGGAAATGTTCAGATATTGTTTTATTTTCAATCTGAAATATTTCATGATAAAGTAGTTTATTGAAAAACATGTTGGGCCAGCATTTGTCTCTTATAAATACATGGAGGTGCTCATTTTGGAAGAATCTATTCAAAGCCAAATACAGGTTATTTAGTTTAGTTCATTTAGTATTATCTTCTGGCTAGTTACGGGATTATCTTAGTTGCTTGAATGTATCTTCATTTTAATTGCTTTTGATAAATTATTTCTAAGGATAGGGATCAAATTCCTAACAATTAGTGCAACTGAAATCGTTAGTGCAATAAAGTCTAATCTTTAGCATTGTCTCTTCATACTTTACTTTCACAGGCAATTTTGATCTGGTCACTCGTGAAATTTCATAGGCCTAATTATGCCGAAATTCCATACCCTGACTGGGGAGTTGCTCTAGGTTGGTGTATGATTATTTTCTGCATTATCTGGATTCCAATTATGGCCGTCATAAAAATAATTCAAGCTGAAGGAAATATCTTTCAAGTAAGCACATTTATATTATTTATACTTTATAGAAAGCACTTATCAAAATGAAGATTACTCATATGGTGGTAATATGAGTTATGAACCTTTAGACTACTTCTACACCTGATACAATCATCTGATTACTATGTGCATAGCATAGCTTTACACCATATGTGTATTTGTGTGTCTCGTACTAGACTCTAAGCTCCTTTAGGGAGAGTTTTATGTTGCTTGCTGCTATATCCTCAGGCCCTATGAGTGTGCTGAGCACATAGAAGTAATATTTATACTTGTACTGAGTTTCCCTGAAGATGACACAAAGCAAAGGACCTTTTTGTTTTATATCTATAATCTTTAAATACATTGTCTGGTTATAATACATGTCCTCATAGTGTGTTTAGACTGGAAAAAGCCTGGTAAATTATTTCAAACCCAATCTAGACCCTGAGTGATCCCTCTTGCATGGAGGTGTAGGCAGATGGAGTTGATTATGACATCTCACTAGGACAATGACAAAGACAAATCTCAGGAGTCAGATTATAAATAATTTCCCAAGCCCACCCCGATCAGTGGTTTGACCCTGGAGCTCCCTTTGTTCGGTTCTTGAAACCTCCCAAGTATACACTGGTTTAAATCCTCACCTAACCCTCCCTCTAAGGGCAGCATAGAAATGTCGGATAATTCAGTGAAAATACATGGATTGATTCTGTTGTTCAAATGGGCTCATACACTTTCTTTTAAAATCATTTACATACTCAGTTATTTTGGTTTCATAGTTGGTGTAATTCTAGTAACAGTTAAATCTGAGTATCATTTTTTTAGTATACTGTATTAAGAATTTTGATGATCACTTTTTTTACTTTTCTAGGTTCTTATTTCATTTTGGTTAGCAAAGAAAATAATATGGTTTGATATTTGCTTGTTTACAGACTGTAACACTTATGGTCTAAAACAAGTTTTTTTTTTTTTTTTTTTTTTCCTTTTCAGCGCATTGTAAGCTGCTGCAGACCAGCTTCTAACTGGGGTCCATACCTGGAACGACATCGTGGGGAGAGATATAAAGATATGGTAGATCCTAAAAAAGAGACTGACCATGAAATACCTACTGTTAGTGGCAGCAGAAAACCAGAATGAGATCTAATTTTTTAAAATACGTGGTCATACAATGTGATTATTTTAGAACAGAGGAAAATTTTATTTATTTTATGTTAACTGAGTAGAAAAATGTATATACTATGTTCATGATAGTATAAGTTTTTCCCATGTAAGCAGGAATGTAATATAATGTGAATCTACTAATATTTAACAATGTGATTATATTTCTTTTTAGATTATCTATCTGTATAACACATATGTAGCTGTCTCTATGTCACAGTAATACTTTTGTAAATATTACCATATTTTTCTAATATACCAAAGACTTTATTTTGAGCCAGTTATTTAGAAAATTGTTATATTTTCTATTATACAAGTTTAAAAATATTATTTACCTATATTTTCTTGGTATATAATCTTTCTTTTCCATAGAGCTGGGGAAAATAAATCAGTATACTTAAAAGAAAGTGTTAAAATTGAAGGCCTCATTTAACTAGAAATGCTACACATACATGAAAAAATGGACTGTGTCTATAGCACTGTAGTTTAATACTTTTAATCCAAATATATCTAAAATTTTCACGTATTTATGGGTCTCTTTTTCTATGTGCACGTAGTGGTTATGTTTACTTACAAATAGTGAAATAAGGCAGAAAAATAAGGATTCTATGGCCAGTAAATGATAAATCTAGAAAATGGAATCCAGAAGCTTCGAGTACTTCTTTCCCCATATAATGTCTTCCTAGGTTATACTTGGAAGAAAATATCTCCCTCCTAATTTCTACTGTGTTTCACAAAATTAAGAGTTGTTCATTATACTCTCTGAAATCTAGGTTTATTTTCAAATAGAACATGGGACAAAATGCTAATGAGGAAATGGCTTCAATCAAATCTAAGATCTTATGATTGTAATATATCATTAATAGATCAAGTAAAATGATATTTGTCTTATTTGAGTAAGTTACTACTTACAGATGATAACTTATTTATACACTTAAAGGAGATAAACTTGTCAAGATTGAGGGAAGGCAAATTAGAAAGTGCTATGTCCCAGTTTCCTAAAAAAAATGGTAATGAAAACATATCATTAATAGGCTTATACAAGCATAATATTATTGACCACTGGTTTAAACATCACAGCCTAGGATAGTGAACATTGCCCAAATATGTAAGAAACTTCTCAGCTGTTCTTAAGGTCCTTAACCTGGGCTTCAGAGAACATATGAAACCGACATTATACATAATATCTTTCTATGTGAATGTGTACTTGCATTTTCTAGGGAGAGAGTCTAGAGTTTTCATAAGAATACCAAAGGGATCTGTGACTCAAAAAAGCTTAAGAACCACATATACTACTACTTCTGGCTTTTTGTTCTCAGCAAGTGAGGAATAAAAGGAATCATTTTAAGCCTTAATTTCTGATACATTTTAAATTCCTTTTCCTCTTCCTTTTGATTGAAGATTAAAGGAGTAAGGGATTAAGGTATTTAATTTATACTGGTAATTTATTTTGGGGAGAAGGGGCATGAAGGTAGGTAAACAGATAAGCCTATAACTGAACAATTTCAGTGAGCTATGTACATATATATAAAATAAACTTGTGTTAGATATTCTGAGGATTTCGAGGGTAAGTCAAATGTCATTAGTGAACTTCAACAGATTAATTCCTCAGTTACACTGGGTTTTATAAAATATTTGAAATAGATGGCTGACTAAAGAAACACTTTTTCTTTATTTTAATCCATATTACATGCATTCTATCATTATATTTTGGTGCTATCTGAGGTGTCAATTTTCCACCAAATAGAAAAACGCATGCCATTTTCTATAGGTGATTCTTGTGATTCAGGGACGATTTAGGCACATTTTTAATGAAATAACATCCAATTGATGGAGGAGAGGGTGATGGGGAAGAAATCCCCTTCAAGAGCTGACTACAAAGAGTAAAGAGTTTGTGTGATTATCTTCACAAGTATCTAAAGCAAGATCTTAACAGTGCCTGGCATATTTTAAGGTGCTCAGTGATAGCTCTTATTACAGATTTGACAGTAGTAAGAGAGAATTCTGTATAATAGAAAGAGTTCCATCAAATCCCGTTTACTTTAATGCAAAAAGACATTTGCATATTGTATACCAAAACTGTTTTTCACATGTGAGTGAAATTGAAATTACCATATCTCAACTATATTCTTTTTGCTGTAGCTTATTTTCTAACGCAAAACTGAGGAACCATTTCTTTCTCTACTGTATTCCTTCCTTCCCCAGTAAAACATATATATATATATATACATACACACATAAATATGTTTATATGTTTATAAACTTGTCAAACTTGTATATATAAAATATATAAATGTATAAGTATATAAAACATGTAATCAATTCTTTAAATGTCAGTAAAAGCAAATTGATAAATGTCTGGTTTTTGTACCTGACTTGGCATCCCCTCCCCTTTTAAACAATTCATTTGGTATAAACACATATAATCAAGTGAATTCACTCAAAGTGCCTTTAATGATTGCCTCCGTTGTCATTACATTCTCTAAGCTTGTCAGATTTCCAGTTAATTAATGCACCATTTAAACCCTTGATAACTAGGAAATGTTCCAGTTCAGCCAGCTTGTATTCCACGATCCCGAGGTTTACCAGTATTCGCTTCTGTATGGTTATGGTGTGTGGGGAATTAATTAAGATATCCCGAGAGAGGCTGATGACTGAAAGACTCTTATCAGTATCGCTCTTAGTTGACCCAGTAGAAGAGGTTGGTCTTACTAGTGCAAGAGAAGTTGAATTTGATGACATTTCACCAACGCTGCTCTGTAAGGGAAGGAAATTATACACATGTAGTTTATTGAGTTTAACAATTTCCAAATACAGTTGACCTTTGAACAAGGTGTGGGGGGGTTAAAGGCATCGATTCTCTGTGCAGTCAAAACCCCATGTATAACTTTTGACTCTCCCAAAACTTAACTACTAATAGCCTACTCTTGACCAGAAGCCTTACAGAAAACACTCGATTAACACATATCTTGCATATGTATTATATACTGTATTTTTACAATAAAGTAAGCTAGAGAAAAGAAAATGTTATTAAGAAAATAATAAGGAAGAGAAAATACATTTGCAGGACTGTATCAAAAAAAGAGAGAAAGTAAAGACCCATGGAGTTCAAACCTATGTTGTTCAAGGGTCTACTGTGCTGCCAACTAACATGTTTAGTCTTGGTTACCAAAATAAACTGATTGTCCTCCCCTAAGAATTAGACATTGAAAATCTGTTGAACAACAACGTTGATTTTGGAAATACGCTCTTCCCAAACACTGGAAAAAAAATATATATGAAAGTAGCCTTTAAATATCAAAATGTCATATCTTTGGCTTACATTTCTTAGAAAAGCAGGTCTATACCTGGACCGTGATCCTTATCTAAAAGGATCACTAAAGATCTGAAGTCACTTGCAGCTTTCAATATCACCAGGAAACCCACATTTTGACCTGAATTATTTGTGAAAGCCCTAATACCTGCCATACAGATGACTGAAACCAGGGGAGAAAGAGGCAAACAAACCTAAGGGGTAGTAGAAGCTAGAAAAGAGAGAGAAGGTATAGATTCCTAAAACAGGAGGTGGTGGTGGAGCGGGCACTTTCAGCTCTACTTTTCAAGTGGGTGAAAATCTGACCACATACTCAGTGACTTGGGGCTTTTTACAGCAGACCACAGCTGCCCAGTCATTGGGCAATAAGAAGGAAGCGTTGGGGGAGAAGAGAAGAATGAAGAGAAGAGAGAAGAATGAAATGACCTTCCCTTACTCTTATTTTACTATTTTAGTATCGGTCTACTTTCTCAGACACACACCTCCCATCCATGAACCACCTCACTTCATCTAATTCCAATTTCTCTTACACACTTTACCTGAAAGCGGCTTTTCCAGAAGACAAACAGAAAAGCAAACAGAATGCCGCTCAGTAGAAGCAACAGCACGCTCATGTTTCCTCTTCCGCCTCTTTCTCTCTTCTCGGGCACGGAGGCACTCAGCTGGCAGCTGGGAAGCAGGGGGACACCACTCGCCTGGCCACGATGTCGTGGGCCACGAGCCTAAGCATCCCACACTGCCTGGTGCAACTGGAAGACGCTGCCGCTTTCGGCTTTATATACAGCAAAGGGCTTGTGACGTCACAATCGAGCACCTACGTGAGGGCGCTACGTCACAATCTGATGACGTTAAGACCCAAAAGCAGGCGGCGTTACATCGGCCTGCTTGGTTGCGGTGTCAGGTCGTTAGAGAGGGCGGTGAGAGACACCCGGGGTGGTCGGGATTTCCAGGAAGCTGAAACACGGTAGAAATAGACTCCAAATTCATCGGCTAAATACAAGATTTTAAAAGTGCTCGTCCCTCCTTTTTTTCTCTTTTAAATTATCTTCGTCCTTGCAGCAACCACTCCATTATTCATTTCAAAAACAAGTCCAGAAACAAGACGGAAATGTACTGTGAAAAGTAGTTACCCACAAACTATAAGTCTTTGCCAGAAACCGCCTCCACAGTCCCATTGCTGTTTTAGGATTCACTTTAACCCTATTCACATTGGGCTAATTATATACATTTGTGTCACTGTACAGCTTAAAAAGTAATTCCAGAGACATTCTCCCATATAATTCTCACAATAATTTTGTGCTTATAGGTATTTTTAATACTGTGTCTACTTTCAGAAATGCAAAAACAGAGACAGGTATTAAGTAAGCTCATTTGAAACTAGCAGCAAAAGCAGGACTCGAATCCACAGAGGTGAGTCCTGAGATAAACTCTCCCATCCCCATCCTCAGGACCTCTACCTGTACTTGCTGACTTGTGAGCATCGAGTATTTAATATTTTCCACTCAAGGAATTGAACAGTATATTTGGATTAATATTAATGAGAGGTAACAGATACAAGAATCATTGTACTCAACAGGAAATGTTTGAGAAATTTGGATAGATCTCCAAGATGACACCGAACTAAAAATTCAGAGCTAAAAGCAATGGCCCGGGTAATGTCAACATGAGTGGCAAACTACAACCCCTAACTGCTTGGGGGAATGACTCACATCTTCATACAGATAGGAAAGAAAAGAATTATTTATAAATTTTGCACATCCAACTTATTTCCCAATAATGAGTTCAAAGCTTAAAGATTTGTTTACTCAACAGGTGTGTAATAAACACTCATGTAAAGGGTGTTTACACTGTGATATATTCTGGGGATATGATTATGAGTGAAAATAAGGTCTCTGTTCACCTGGAATGTGCACTGTGGTGTGAGAGATGGACATTAATCAAACACCCACAGAAATGGATGTAAAAGTGCTGATGAGATAAGTGGTAGCAAGAAGTACATGGTGGCACAGGAGCTTCTCACAGGAAATGGGATATAAAGGAGAGCAACGCTCCTGGCGTTATGGCTTATTCAACTAGATGGATAGGAAATAACCACGTATAGGATTAGTCATCATGAATTTGGTGTTGGACATGTTGAGTTTGAGGTGACATTGAGACATGAAAGAGAGACGTAGAATTAACATTTTAAACAATTTTAAGGACACATTTCTGTGGCTTTAAGTACACTCACATGGTTGTGCAACCCATCACCACCATCCATGTCCAAAACTTTTTCATCTTCCCCAACTGAAAATCTATACTCATTAAACACTAAATTCCTATTCTCCCCTCCACTCAGCCCCTAGAACCTACCATTTTTCTTTCTGTTTTTACAGATTTAGATAGAATAGTTACCTCATAGGAGTAGAATGACACAATATTTGTCATGTTGTGACTGGCTTATTTCACTTAACATAATGTCTTCAAGTTTCAACCATACTGCAGCATGTGTAAGAATTTTATTCCTTTTTAGGGCAGGATAATATTTCACAGTATATATATATACCACATTTTTTTACCCATTTATCCATCGATGGACACTATGTTGCTTCTACCTTTTGGTTATTGTAAATAATGCTGCTATGAACATGGGTTATTTGTATGTTTTAGATAACAGTCCTTTATGTCTTTTGCAAATGTTTGCCCCCAGTCTGTGGCTTGTGTTTTTACTTTCTTGACAAAGTCTTTCACAGAGCAGAAGTGTTTAATTTTAAGGAAATCCAACTTATCAATGCTTTCTTTCATGAGTAGGTCCTTTGGTGTTATGTCTAAAAGTTATCACCAAACCCAGGGTCATCTAGATCTCTTCAAATTAACAACTCTTAGTTTGGGTTTTTTTTCCCCCTATTGTTTTGATATTCTCTATTTCCTTTATTTCTGCTCTAACATCTATTATTTTCATCTTTCTGCTACCATCGAATTTAGTTTGTTCTTTTTCTAGTTCTGTTATTGTTCCTAAAGATAGCTGAATGCATGTTTCTCTCAAGTTCACGTGAAAACATTCTTCAGGATAGACTATATGTTAGGCCACAAAACAAGTCTTTTTTTTTTAAGATTTTATTTATTTATTCATGAGAGACAGAGAGTCAGAGGCAGAGGGAGAAGCAGGCTCCCCGCGGAGCAGGGAGCCCGATGCCGGGCTTGATCCCAGGACCCTAGGATCACGATCTGAGCCAAAGGCAGATGCTTAACCAACCGAGCC